CTACACACTGAACATATCCATTCGAATGCTATTGAAATTCCCATCTAGGCCAGAAGCGGGCTTAGCCTTGACTTCCAAAGAATTATCTAAGTCTTCCAGCTTCTGGCTCAGCTCACTGTCAGACTCATCTGAACAACTTTCTGTGGGTAGTGAGGTTTGAACCCCTGAGGTGCTGCACAGACTTGAGGTAACCGTTGAAGGCAAGGACGGGGAGGGAGGGGAGGACAGGGAAGAAGCAGCTTTCCTGGCGGACGCTTGGAAAAGGATATTGGGCCAGGACTTCACGGGGAAGCAAGAGAGATGAGGGTAGGTGTTATTCGAAGAAGCTGCAGACGGCGAGGTAGATGTGGTGTTAGGGCGAGGGGAGCAGACTGAGTGAGGTAATAATCTAACATGCTCTTTGGCATTGCTCATTGCTTGTTTGATTGTTTTCTCTTTGTGCAAGCTGGACTGGAGGTGTTGGCTGAGGGCTTCATTCCCACCGACGGCCACGTCGCAGGCGAGACACTGGTATCTGCTGACGGGGACGCGGAGCACGGTCTCCTGGGCGTCCGTCAGCGGCTGGCCGAAGTAGCAGAAGGACTTCTGGTGGCTGACCGCGGCGTCTTCATCGGTGAACATCATCTGGCACTTCCTGCACAGGAACTCATACTTGACGAACGGGACGACGTAAGTGTCTGCAAAGTCCGCGCTCTTGGGCTCGGCCCGGGGTGGTTCTTCCTTTGTGCTTTCAGCCGCGGCGGCGGCGGCGGCCTGGTCTTCCTTGGGGTCCGCGGCCTCCCCGGGGCCGGGCGACGGGTCGCTGATCTCCACTTTGGGCGCCTTGGCCAGGCCGGGCTTCTGCGGCAGCGGGTCTTGCTGCTGCTGCTGCTTCTGCTGCTTCTGCAGGGAGTCCTGCAGGCTCTGCTGGTACTGCGTGAGCAGGGCGCCCGGGGCCAGGCCGGCCAGGCCCGGGGGCACGGCGGGCCCGTAGGGGAAGAGGCTCTCCACGCCGCAGACGGGCGGGAGGTAGGCGCCCTGCACGGCCCCGGGGAGCTGGGGCGTGAAGTAGGACGCGAAGCCCGGGATGAAGTAGGGCAGGAACTGGCCGCCCAGGAAGGACGCGGGGTCGCCGGCGGCGATGGCGTTCTGCAGGGCCTGCAGCTGGGTCGGATCCACGTGCGTCTCGCCCACGACTTTGCCCAGCACGGAAAGAGCAGATGAGATTTTTTCCTCTTTTCTGGGGTGCTTCTCGGGTTTGGTGGCTTCCAGTTCCTCCTCTTTGATCTTCTTGACCTTGTTTGGCTTACTTTGCTTCTTCTCCGGTTCTTTGTTCTGCGGCTCGGTCTGCTGTGCTGACAGAGAGGATGGAGGAGGAGGTGGAGGTGGTAGAGTCTGCAGCAACGGTTTGGCGGGGGCACTGCTGAGAGACAGGGCGGGAGACGGAGTGGCTGAAGAGGGGAACCCAAGCATGCCTGCGCCGGGAGGCGTCAAAGCTGAAAAGGACAACAGAGATGAGCCATCAGTGAGTGCATGGGGTCACAGGGGGCCTGAGGCTTAACCTTAAACGGAGCTCAGCTGCGGCGACGTCCCCAGAGTTCCTATTATACACGCTCGGAAATTTGCCTGCCCCCGCTGTCCTGAGATTGTCGTATTTCTTATATTCGTTTTAACCCCCATCCGCCGTCACTGGAGGAATGACATCTGTACAGGTTAGCAACGTTGGACCCAGGAAAAAAGGCTCTCTCATAGCATGGAAGATGGAAGGTGAGAGATAGAACATCTCCCTGTTGGTAAGCTTTGCAAGATTTCTACTCAGTTATTCATTTTAACCATTTAAAAAAATTATATATATATATATATATATATATATATATATATATATATATATAAATTTTATTGATTTTTTACAGAGAGGAAGGGAGAGAGATAGAGAGCCAGAAACGTCAGTGAGAGAGAAACATCGACCAGCTGCCTCCTGCACACCCCCCACCGGGGATGTGCCCACGACCAATGTACATGCCCTTGACCAGAATCGAACCTGAGACCTTTCAGTCCGCAGACTGACGCTCTACCACTGAGCCAAACCGGTTTCGGCAAAAATATATATATTTTTATTATTTTTTTTTTTTACAGAGAGAAAGTGAAGGGGATAGAGTTAGAAACATCGATCAGCTGCCTCCTGCACACTCCTTACTGGAGATGTGCCTGCAACCAAGGTACATGCCCCTGACCGGGATCAAACTGGGACCCTTGAGTCCTCAGGCTGACGCTCTACCCCCTGAGCCAAACTGGATAGGACTTAACCAGTTTTCATTCTACCACTGGGAAGGCAGACCCACTCTCCTTCACTCAAACAGGCTGCTAATTACCAGGTTCACAAAAGATAATTAGCTATCAAATTCCAAGGCGGGGATAACGACACATATGTAATGCCTTAATCAAAAAAGAAAATTTAAAAATGAAAAAAGTTTTCAATGAAATCCACATGCCTAAGTTCCAGTAGACAAATGCACTTACACTGAAGAAAGAGGTGATAAGCTAACTTAATAGCAGGCGTAAACGACCAGGAAGACCCCAAACCACAGGGCAGTGGATGACAGTGCTCATGGTGACCACTGGGGGCATGGCTGCGCTGATTTCCTTTTCCAGGGTGCAGGTTAAGCTCCTCATTACCATGCTGACAATTTGGCTAAGAGTACTTGATAGGAAGGGAGATATTAAGGCTCAACTTTATCAACCCTCCCCTCCCCCCCAACACAATCCTTCTTCAGGCTTTGCTTTTTGTATAAAACATGGTTTCCCCCGCTTGTCCTGGTGGCTCAGTTGGTTGTGCTGTAGGCAGTTACATGAAGCAGAGAAAGGCTGATGGGCCAGGTCCAGAAGGTCACCAGGATGGAAAGCCCAGGTGCCTAACAAGGAGAACCAGTTACAGGGAGGGACCTTGACTTCTCCTTCCCTAGCCTATCGTGGTTTGGGCCCCCTAACCTTTCCTCCCTGGAGATAACCTCTAGGCCTCAGTTGTAGTTCAGCTCCAGGCCCAGCTGCACTGAGTAACGACCCCCTGCCCTAGTGCTGCCAATCAATCAGTGGAGACCAAATCTCTGCATGGACGCACCTGGAAAGCTACTGAATAGGCTGACAGTGGTTCTCAACCTTTCTAAGGTCGTGACCCCCAACCATAAAATTATTTTCGTTGCTACTTCATAACTCTAATTTTGCTACTGTTAATGAATCGTAATGTAAATATCTGTTTTCTAATAGGCTACCCTGCTAGTGTTGAGAACCACTGAGACCATCGGTTGGGGGTCACCACAACACGAGGCGCTGTATTAAAGGGTTGGGGCATTAGAAAGGTTGAGAACCACTGGGCTATTGAGATCTTTCCCTGGTCCCTCTCCTATGATCTCTGCTCCTAAAACCCTGGGATGGAGGACTCAGTGCGCTCCCCCTCCCAGATGGTGCTGGTTCATTGCTGATCAAGGGAAGGCTCACCACTGAGTGATCAGAACAAGGACTGCGCTGGAGGCTCAATGGGAGACTGAATCAGACAGAAGGTGAGTGGAGTTTAAATTATTGGTGCAGAGCTGTAGAGAGAATGATCAGAGATTTAAGACAATCATCTTTATGGGTCAACATCTTACCTCCACGCTAAATAAAGCATTTGGGTGCTTCAAAAAATTTGTTTTGAAGTGACACAAAAACTGCCTGTTTCTACCGTATTTTCCCGAAAATAAGACCTAGCGCAACTTTGGGAGAAAAAATTAACATAAAACAATGTCTTATTTTCGGGGAAACAGGGTATTTCTGTAGCTAGAAAAAGACTTTAGTGTCTTCATTGGTCTTTACCAAGCTCAGAAAGCTTTTCTTAGGCTTCGCTTATAATTCAAGGTGCCCTAAGTCCTCAAAGACCACCCTCACTGTTATCAGATTCCTATCTATTAGCTTTCTGCCAGCTGCTCTCCTTTGTAACCTACCAAACCCAACTCATCCCTGAGCTGCTCTGAAATAAGTCCTGTAGTTGTTGGTGAGGACAGATGCTAAAAATCTTAAAGTTTAAGAAAATGTTTTACTAGAGTGATAGCATAAAAAAAGAGAAAAAAGAAAACAAATCCTTGAAGTAACATTGTGATTTTGGGAGAAACTGATAACAGTATCCATGGTTTACAGAAAAATGGCCTGCACCATTGAAACAAATTTAAAATGGCCTGCACCATTGAAACAAATTTAACATGACTTAAGTTTTGCAGGGTATGGTAAGAATGAATAAGTTACCTGGTCTTTAGTCCACCCAATTTAGTATGATAAACTTCTTGATTCTGGGGACTCAGACAAAATTGTAACATAATGGAATTGCTTTTCGGGGGCCCAAATCCTCCATTCCCTTGCTTTTACTCCTCCACCACTAGGCCTGGTATCTTCTACTTGCCTCTGCATACAATATTATTTTCAAGAAAGAAAAAAGTATGAACACATCTATTTCTGAAAAGGATTCATATATACCAGTACTAGATTGAGGTTTCTTCCCACTATGATATTCTGTGCTATTTTACATTTCGGAGAGGATAATGCATTTAGTCAAATTATTATCTAACCACAGACTTCCAGGCACGAGTGATTCCAGGCGGAAGAAGCCTTACTTCAGAGCCTTCCCTGCACCTTAGAAGGGCTCCATGTGGGTAGCCAGCTTCTTTGCCTCCTCATAAAGCCAACCTTACCTCTAAGTCTAGTACAATGAGACTTCAACTTTCCCCCATAAATCTCAGGAAATGGTTGGCTCACTCATCTCTGTGTCATGAGAATTTCAGAAAAACTTTAAGGAACTAAGAGACTTAAATAGCAGTGGTTGTTGAGCAGGCTTTCCGGTCAGACAGAGTCTACAGCTTCCTACCAAGAAGTCATACAATGAAGTAAAGATCATGCAATCATCTTCTAAAAGCCCAGCTACCATATTCCAAAACTATTAGGGATTTCTAGGAAGTCAACAAATCGAGGACTGCACAGAGTTAAATAATCAGCTGAAAATTTTAGGAAAGAGATGCAGATTCAGGATACTGAACCATGTACATCAGGCCTATTATTATAGTAAAAACCATAAGCCTGTAAAAATTTGCAGTCCAAAGGTCGGTAGCCAACAGACACAGGAAAACCAAAAAACAGAAGAGAAAAACTGAACTGATCACAGCGTGGAATCGGATGCATTTTTTCCCGTTCCCTAACTCCTCCTAAGAGGCTCAAGTTTACTACAGGCAATCAAACTACCATAATTTTGTTTGGTTTTCCCCCAAAGTGATGTTTTTGGAAGAAAATGCCTGTCTCACAATGAACTTAGATGTGGTTCCTTTCCCCCGTGATCCTTTGATCCAGGTCTCCAAGAGAGAAAATTTATTTTGGAGGTGAAAATAAAAGTAATTATATACTCAGGGCCACAGAAAATTGTGATAAAATTACTAAAGACTTACTCTTATCTAGATTTACCACAACTGCGCTAGTAAATTACGCCGAAGTATGAGAAAAATGCACAAGGCATGTTCTGAAGTTCCATTTAAGGAAATTGGGTTGGGCAGTATTTCCAAACACTAATGGAACATATAAAAATCAGACACTGCTTAAAACGATAAAGTAAATATGTTAAAAATAGAAAATCAAGTTCCTATTCATCTTGAGTCCCCCTCCCCAGAAAGGAAGCTAAGATACTCAAGGATAAAAATGTCAACTTAAACTTTTCTAATTTTTTCCAGGCGTACAGGCTTGTGATATTTTTCACCACTCACCCTTCTTGCACGTGATCGTGATAGAAAGAGACAAATGTGGAAAATTTTTTAAGCAGAAAATAATTCCTTTGCTTGAAAAGCGAAGGCACACGTGATGTGCATTACCCTCGCAAGGGCCGCATTCGTGATCTTGAAAGACTAAATAATGTGACAATTCCTTGGAAACGAGGCAAGGAAGTTTGGTGAGCATAAAAGCTGGTAAACAGCACTTCTGCTCCCGCCTGCTCCCCAAAAAAGAATATAAAAAAGTGTTTAAACCAGGACACTTAGAAGTTGGTAAATACTAAAATCGAACATGTCCATGGCAACGAATGTACACTCACAGGTGTAGCCTTTGGAATCAAGACTTATTGCTTCAGGGAACTGCTCTTTCTTAGTGGAGCCCTTTAGGGTCAAAACATTCTAATTACCTCCAAAGGGACAGAGTATTTTTAAATTGGAGATTTTTGCATAACTAAAATCCCATTAAAATGGGCCCAAGATGAACATGGCATATTCTCAAAGTTTAGTCAGGTAGATAGATAAATTGTGAGAAATACAGAAACATTCTACTTATGAAGTAATTTTCTCCTTCTGACTTCACCTCGCTGGTATGTCTATTTCTCCCATAAAGCAAAGGAGAAGTATTTGAGTGATGAGGAAGAACACAAGAGAAAGATGGAGAAGCATAACTCCCCTTGCGAGATGCCTAAAATATTCAGCTTTACCCACCACAGGTCAGC